AAAAATGTAAAATATGATAATTCTAAGCATGTTATGGTTTTATGTGGAAAAGAGGTTTTTGATAAAGAAAAATCCAAGATTTAAGTTTGGTACATTTCCTGTGACCAATCTACACTCCATTTTCCTCGAGCAGGTTAGCCAGTATACCTTTGCAATGTGCAGTTACAGAGAAAAGAAGTCTGAACCACAAGAACTGATGCAGCTTGAAGGATACACTGTGGATTACACAGATCCTCACCCAGGTAAGTCTAGGTAGGACTGCTTTCCCTGCCATGCCCGAATGCACGGAATCTTTGCAACTATCCTATGTCTGTTCTGCATTTCAAACTCCACTTGATGAACAGGCTGCATATTTCATTTATGTAACTGGACCAGACTTTGAAATGTAAATGATGTCTTTTGGGCTAGTCAATGTAATTCATCATCTCTGTTGTATTAGTACAAGGATGAAATTTGTAAAAATTTCTGTGATGGAAGAATCACATGAAAAGTATCAGCAATGTGTATGGAAACTTCTGGAAAGTAAAACTTACAATAGAAATAGGTAACAAAATGGCAAATGTATATTATAGTCTGCTAATTTCCTCCCCCAAAGCAGGTTCTTATACTTATATTCCTCCCTCCACATTAATGTAGTTGAACATCTCTTAATTGTAAAAGTCTGAAATCTAAAATGCTCCAAAATCTGAAACATTTTTGAGTTGCTAACATAATATCACAAGTGGAAAATTCCATACCTGACTTTATGTGGCAGATCATAGTCAAAATGCAGAGACATTGTCAATAAATAAAATTACCTTCAGCTTGTGTGTATCAAGTGTGTATGAAACCTGAATGATATTTGTGTTTAGACTTGTACCTCATCCCTCTTATATCCCTGATATGTATCTTAGCACTACATATCAGGGATATGTAGTGCTAAGATAACCCATTATGTATATGCAAATATTCCAAAACCCAAAAAGGTCCAAAATCCAAGGCATTATTAATTCCAACCTTTAAACTTTACTGGACCTAGTACTGAATACCTGATATTTAAAAATAGTGCATGAATGAATAGGCTGTTATAAAAATTAATATAGCATGCTTGATATATCAATATTAATATAGAGAAAAGTTAAGAAATTAATTCATTAGAAATTAAGAAGCAGAAATCTGTGGCCATATTCACTAAGTTGTTCATTTGGAAATGTCATCCTCTCCAATGTCTTCCTCTCCATGAGTTTTTTGGGGAAAAAAAAGCATAAAATACCATACAACATAAAGTAAAAATTTTGACATTTTTTTCTGCTAAACTCATAAATCTC